GGCATAACAATGTGAAAAATCAAAAGCCGATAAAAGGCGGTCATCGACCAGGTCGCAGAAAGAAAAGACATCCTGAAGCGCTCCATCGCGCAAGTTGTTTAAAACACAAGGAAAAGAAAAAACCCGCCCCAACACGGGTACAGCAAATCGTCAACACAAAATCCAAAATAACATTGTCTTTACTACGAGATAAGTCGATAAAAGACCGCCACACCAGACCATTAACACCCAATAGCGGTCTCAAACGATTGGCGAACCTCCACTGGCAGCATCAGCGTCGTCGGCTCCCTCCTCCCCTCCGGCATCCTCTTCCTCTGAGTCGGCCGCTTCTGAGTTGACATCGGAGGCAGACCAGTGACTGACCGCATCCCATACGCGGTCAGTGTCCCAACCTAGATCAGGACACTCCTCGCGGAACAGGTGGCGGATAGCGGCCACCACGTTGCCAACCACCTCCTTGTACTTCGCTTTATCCCGGGCAACGAACTCAGCAGATTGGAGGTAGGCTGGACCCGCCTCGGCTCGCACAGCGGCCAACTCCGACTCACGAGTCGCCAGCATAGACTCCTTCTCCAACCTCAGCATGTCCACCTCTCTGCGCAAGGCATCCTGTTCTTCCAAAAGGGTCTTCTCGATCTCACCTGACTTACGAAGAGAGTCTTGGAGGCGGTCTCTCTCTTCCCGAACCGCTTTCGAGGCCTCCTTCTCATCCGACAGCTCCTTGTCCTTGTGGGTCAGCCGATCCGCGAAGTCCTTCTCTATTTGCGGGCGCAGCTCCCCCTCCAAGACCGCACGACCATCCTCTACCTTCTTCTTCAAGTTCGCAATCTCAACCGCATTATCATCTACGGTCTTGGTCAAGCGGTCATTCATGAGGATGATTTGCGAAAAGCCGATCTGTGCCTGCAAAACAAAACAACAAGTCAGTACACGCGTTATAACACTCGCAAACCGCTCCAAGGTATGACAGCAACTTACCCCAAAGAAAAACTGCGATGCGGTTCCTGCCAGGCGGCGGTTGCTCTCCGACGAGGTAGCAGTATACTCGTTGGGCATTTCCAGCTGCTCGCTGATAGTGTGAATCGCCAACTCGGCCGCCTCCGTGTCGAGGGCGGCCAAAGGTGGGACGGTCACGGAACCAGACTTGGCCGACCGCTTCGGAGCAGGCCCCTGCTTTTCCCCAGCCTTAACGCGCGGAGAACCAATCTTCGCGCGCTTGGAGGCCGCCTCGGGAGCTCCACGTTCTACCACCCTCTTCCCCGCTCCACGAGAAATGGAAGCAAAAGACGCGCCAACCGCACCCGACGATTTCGCGGGAGACTGCGCCGGGGGAACCGCCGAAAGATCAATCATGGGAACCGCCGCAGACGAGTGAGCCTCACCCGCTCGTCGGTCCTACCTGCCTTCCTCTTCTTTGGCCTGTTGGCATCCGCCAACTCCCTCAACCCTGGAGAAAGAAATCATAAGTAAAAACACATGAGAAGGATAAAGAACGACGTTTCAAGTAAACACTACTGACCATAAAAACCGCGAACGAGCTGATAAGCACTGTTAGATCCACTATGCTGCACACGCAGTTGAACGCCCTCCACTATCCGCGCTACGTGATCCCGCACGGACTGTGGGAACTGGGTAGAATCGCACCAGTCATCCTTGGAGCCAACTGCATACCCGGTAGGCGGCTCAACCTCTCCCGCATACCGCTTCCACGAAGGGCAGGCAAAGAAATACTCCTTATACCATGGCGAATCCAGCTTTGGCGCCCCTCTCACGAATCCAACCAAATTTTCCCGCCTTCCAATCGACCAACAATTGGTCGAGTCACGGATATTGTAGATCATTCGAAAGGCATCAAATGACGGCTCCTCTTTAAGGCGGTCACACGCCAAATGATACATAACCGAATGGAAGACAATCGTTGGCGAAAGACGCCCAAGGGTGCATTGGAGCCGGAGAACAATCCTTGTCAGAAGATCGTCCAGAGGAAACCGTAAACCGAGCTTAACGTGCTCGACCAATATGGGAATCCAGACGGAAGGACATGATCCAATGCGACTCCTCCCAGAAGGGACCGCATAAAGCCAGTCAGGTGGCATCCGCAGCGATTTAAGCCGGTACAACACCTGCTCAGGCTTAAAGGCCGCAACATGCTTTGGACCCTGCTCAAAGACCTCCTCCGGCACGGTCTCCCCATCCCACATACCAGAATGGCGCAACACAGTGAACACAGGGTCTTTAATAGCAATAGGAAGCGGTCTTGGTTCCCCACCCTCTGAAACCTCCAACGAGGATGAAGAACTCGGATGCGCCCCAGACCGCACCCCGTCACTATCAACCTCCTCCGAGTCATCCAACGATATGCTATCTAAGTCTACCCGCTCAAATTCCCCAAGATTATCCCCAACCGCCGACGAGGTGGCCACAACCCCAACTGGTACAGGGTGGAGGTTAGCACAAGAGTTATCTAAGTCTACACAAGTTGCAACAAGGCAATCTCTCAATTCGTACCCCTCTCCAACATATAGCTCTAACCCGGATAAATCCCACACGCATTCAGACGTGCTTCGAATGGGAGAAGAATAACTCGTACCTTGAATACCAGAAGCGGTCTCCGTAGGTTTTTTCCCGGTAGCACGAGGCGGCACTGTAGCGGCCGAGGATGCGGGCTCCTTCATTGACACCGCCGTCGGCCCAGGGTCGGAGACCAAGACGTTCCCCGCCTCGGGGGCATGGTCCTTCTCCCCGCTAAGCAACGATGAGGGTCCCTCACCCGACATCTGTCGACGGCAAGAACGAACAAGATCGGCAATTCCCCAATACCCGAAGCGCCGGCGTCGCCCACAAGAACAAGACGCAAGTCAACAACAATAAAGAAATCACGCGTCCGAGGTCCCAAACGAAAGAAAAAGCAAAGCCAAAACTCACCTGAAAGACTGAATTTATAGGCGACGATGTTGGAGCCCTTCAAGCTTTCCGCAGAGAAAGAAGAGAGGAAGAAGACGAAGCGCTTTCCTAATTCGGAGGAGAGTGGCGGAAATCCCTCTCGAAATCCTACTTAAAGGCGAAAAGGGAAAGAATGACGTCCCGAAGAGAACTTTTCACGAAACCCGAGAGCGGAACACCCCCAGAGGTGACGTTCCGTCTGCCGGTGTCAGAGCTCCCCGCCCGATGCGTGACACGTGGCGGGTGAAAGTTGAATACCGAGACCGGACGCGGTCCTTCCCCTAAGGCGTCCTCACGATACGTCTCCGCGACTAGGGGCATCAAGGGAGTCACACTAAATGCGGCCGATGACCGCCTCGAGTGTACTATGGGCCAGGACACCCAGAACCTCCCAACATTGGTGGAAAATATTGTTTAGCCGCGAAAACCTATCGCTTCCCACGCCTAAGGGGCAAATGTTGGGCCAAATATTGGGGCGTCTGGGCCCCAGACCCATAGTAGCCTAAGACCCATTGCTGGGCCAAATAGTGAGACACTTGGGCTCCAAGCCCATAGTAACTTAGAGTTCGTAAAGAAACGAGTCGGGCCTGAGTAGGGGCAACGAGCCACCAAAACCCGCCAAAGGCGGTCTTTTCCCTAAAATACAGCGAGAACCGCCCTACGTGGATGAATGACCGCCCGACATGGAGACATATGGATGCTTGGTCCTGACCTTATCGGTACGGAGCCTGACAAAGGTACAGATAAGTCAGTACTGTCGAGGGCGTCCCAAGACCGCCCGACACAATGGCAAACGGAAACCTGGCTCTGACCTGATCTGTACGAAGCCTGAAAAAGGTACAGAGTGGCCAGAACTGTCGAGGGCATCCCAGGACGCCCGACAAGTCATTAAATGCCCATGATCCGCTCAGCACTAGTATAAATACTCAATTGCGAACCACATTGATGGTAACTTCTACCAACTCGATTCTCTCTCTTATTTACTCTCATTTCCACTTCTCTCTCTAACTTAAGCATCGGAGGAGGTCCCAGGAACCCCCTGAGGACCTTTCTGCAGGGTTTCGGAGACCGCCATCGACCGTCGAGGCCGCCCAAGGCCAGTGGAGTCTCACAAACCGCTTGGAACAATCCAAGCACAAACACTTTGCTACCCATCCTAATGGTGACAGTGATGTTTATGGCTTATATTCCATACTAGCCATATTCCTCTCCTTGCTGTGAAAGAAATGTCGCTCTCAATTATAGATTTCGGCTGTTTCAAGTCTCCATCTCCTCCTGTGTTGCCAAAGTGAGGTGGGTATGCATGTTTGTTGGATAGCGAGTTAGGATGCCTGCAACTTTTCCAGTGCTATATACAAGCTTGGCGCCTTGTAGTTTGGCGTCTGGACATTGCAACGAGGGTGTCTCATGTCCTCCAATGCGTCCTCCAGGGCTATATACTTTGATCCTTGGTTTAGTTCTAAAACCAATCCAAACTGATGTCTCCTGAGCTATAGGTCAATACAACCTCCAGCAACGACGACAACGCAACTGAGAAAGCAGGGACTTGATTTATGGCGCCAAAAGAGAAGAGGTAGCTGTTTGCAATTTTTCCCATACCCCGTAGCTGTGCACGTCATGGAGCTCACAGTCTCACACAGCTGCCGGCCGGCGACAATTATTTTAGTCTGAAGCACGATATCAGGCTCTCTCCCACAAATCCAACCGCGTCCAAGCTTGGCTGGCTAAAACCCCATTTACCTACCCTCTGTCTCCCTCCATCTATCATTCTATACATGTTTCCATGTCCACAGTTGGGAACATTGCAACAAGACATCTCTCATTCACCAACCTCTGGTACACAAGTTTAACAAATCAGGAATGTCAAGTTGAGGAAAGACATGGTCAATGTGTTCTCTGAAGCTAGAATATTAAAAGTAGACAACCTCATTGATAAGATCCTATAAAAGCCATCCACAATAGTCGAGGAAAAGCATCGATCCAACCCCATTATTATTTCAACTGAGAAAAACAGGAGCTAGCAGCTAGCAGAAACCTTGTGGCTTCTGGAGTTGAAAATGGCAAGTTTTAGTCACCCTCTACTTGTAGCTCTGTCTGTGCTTGCAATAGTAGCATTCCGTCCAACCTCGGTTGATGCTAAGTTCTCCAAAAGCACCTACTTCACTTGGGGCGCTCACCATGCCTCAGTATCAGGAAACGGCGAGGAACTCCAGCTGGTATTGGATAAAACATCAGGTAACTTGTTTGCATAAATCTCAAATCTTCAGGCTCCAAATAGAGTTGATCGCCTTAGATATATAGCGGCTCACTTGATTACCAATCATTTTTTAATCCTCAGGCTCTGCAATTCAGTCGAAACGGGCATTCTTGTTTGGCAGCATTGAGATGTTGATCAAGTTGGTGCCTGGGAACTCTGCAGGAACAGTTACTGCTTATTACGTAAGTTAAAATGCAGAGAAAGTAAAATATTAACCAAGCTAGTTGTCTGTTGTCATATTCATTCTTATCTAATCAACTACATACCACAGGTATCTTCCACTGGGGATAGACACGATGAGATCGACTTTGAGTTCCTTGGAAATGTGTCTGGGAAACCCTACATCATCCACACTAACGTCTACGTACAAGGAAATGGAAGCAGGGAACAGCAGTTCTACCCTTGGTTTGATCCAACTGCTGACTACCACAACTACACCATTCACTGGAACCCTACCGCTATTGTGTAAGTTATTCGGATAGTTTACAAACGATCGATCAGCCTATCCTATTAAGTCTGATATATAATATGATCAATTGTGTCCTGACCACCTTATTATCTATGCAATTATGCAGGTGGTATGTTGACAGTGTGCCAATCAGAGTTTACCGCAACTACGAGAGCCAGGGGGTTCCTTTCCCAAACAAACAAGGGATGAGGGTTTACTCTAGTCTCTGGAATGCTGATAACTGGGCAACCAGAGGAGGCTTGGAGAAGATCGACTGGAACTCAGCTCCCTTCATAGCCAGGTACCGCAATTTCAGAGCTAGGGCTTGCAAGTGGAATGGACCTCCCAGCATCACCCAGTGTGCTGTCAGTAGCCCAGCTAACTGGTGGACATCTCCTGCATACAAACAGCTGAGCTCTGCCAAGCAAGGCCAGATGAAGTGGGTGAGAGATAATCACATGATCTACAACTACTGCAACGATTTCAAGAGATTCAACGGCAATATGCCACCTGAATGCTTCAAACCACAGTTCTGACCTACCATTTCTAACACGATCAACCACGTTCCAACGGAACAAATAAATTTTTGCTTTCATGTCTTTTGGGGTTCCATATCAAATTGCTTTCATTATTTTTCCTCCGTGTCAACCTGAGTCTTGCTGCATTCTCCCTCCGTTGCTACAACGGAGTGCGAATACTGAGTTCAAAGATGTAACATTTTATACTTCTGCAACTGAAAGAAAGTTGCAATTCAACTGCTCCTTTTAATACCTCATTCGAAATGTCGAATGTAATCGAGACTAAGTTCTCACATTCAACCGAGCAGGAGTAAATAGGATCTATTCTAATGAACCAAATGAACCACAGTGACAAGTTCATTCAATCCCAATAAGAAACTCAATACTGAGACCAGAAATGGGTCGAATTCCAGAGAGTATGTCCAGAAATTCGCAGCATCAACATCAACCTGACCTTCTACTACAAAAATTAGGCGATACAAAGCCAAACTCCAATCGCAATGAAACCCGTACCGATCAAAGCGAACCCAATTCGAGTTTCTTCCCCTAGCATCATACCGGCAGTGGCAGCGAAAGTCGTGGCGTTGGTGACAGGGACGGCGAGCGAAATTGGGGCGTCGCTCAGGAGAGCGAAGAAGGTGGCGGACGCCGAGAGGTTGATCAAGAAAGGGATCGAGTACTGGCAGAACAGCAGAAGGCTAATTGCGGTTCCGAGCCAAGAGACGAGCTTCTGTTGGATCGCCGTCGATTTCGGTGCGGCGGCATCGCGAGGGGGGGAGATCCGAGAGATCTCTCGTCGTAGAGTAGAGCCCCGCGGCGGATCAGGGCATCGGTGGCGCCCCAGACTAGGCCGACGGCCACCATTTTCTCGACGTTACCGGCCATCGATATACCTGGGCGGTGGCTCCGGTGCGGTTAGTAACCTTAACGGCGGTAGATACTCTTTAGTCTTTTCTCAATCTTAACGGTGGTGATCGTAACCTTAACCGTCCGTCCACAATTGGTTAGTTTCGGTAAAAATTGAACGGTAAATACAATATAATAGCCAAACCTTTTCTCCTTAAATAAAATAATAGTAAAATCTTTTGGAAAATAATTTAATAGCCAAACCATTAACTTTCCGTCCGGTTGACTGTTAATTGACTCTGATGTGACAAAATTTTAGTTGAGCTGGATAATAATGGCTGATGTTAAAATTGCCACATAAATATTACATAATTTTATAAATTAATTATTGTTTTCAGAAAAATAAAATAAAATTTTAATTTTTAAGAGCCATACAAATCTGATCCATTCACCTCCTTTCCTTCGCTCAGCTTCACCGATTTTGCTTCCAGCGAATCCACTTTTTCCGCAATCCACCGATGACCGTCAACTGTAAAATCCAACCACGTTCTAAACCTAAAAGCAAAGGGGGAAAGAGGCAGTCTGGTTCATTTCTTCTTCTGCCGCTATGGAAGGTTGGAGGTACGGATGATTGCGGGGAGTTGGAGGAACGAAAAGGGAATCTTGAAGAGAGCTCAAATTTGCAGAAGCCATAGAACAAAGTGCCCCGTCAAATGCTTTGAAGCCGTCTCTGAAGTGGAATAGAGCACTGAATATGACTCTGGTGTCGTAACTCGTAGCCAAAGAGAAGGCCGCCGAAGTTGGCAAAAAAGCGAGGCGAAGAACATGACCCATGAATTCAGCCATGGTTAATCAAACTCGCAAGTTGTAGCTGCTGCTGTCGCTGGATCTTCTTAGCCATCCCTATCAGATCTCGATCACCGACAAGAACACAGCCGTCGAGGCCCACTTTCCTCCCGTCGTTTCTGTTCCTCCCTCGTTAGAAATCGAACAAAAAACAGCGAGAGAATCATATCTGATGATGATTTCTTAATCATCGTCGTAATCACGAGAAGGGGAAGAAGCTGACTCCTTTCGAGAAAGAGGATTCGATTTCGATTCTGATCCCGATTGGACCAAAGTTCCCCAAAACCTAACCGCCAGATTTCAATCCCTAGATTTTGCTACCGACACTTTTTCCCCTCATCACCAGTCTTCTTCTTTCGCTCGCCTATTCTAATTAAGTTGCGATTGCAAAAACGAGAAAGCTTGATGCTTCGAAAGTGCACTTCATTGTCGACGCCGCTGAAGAAACAGTAGCAACAACAGCCGTTTCAACTGCAAGAGGAAGAGGCGAAGAAGATAAAGGTGGAAGAAGAGGAGGTAGGTGTTGCGTTGGAGAAGAAATGAAAGGATTACTCAGTGATCCAAGTCGAGCGACCTAGAAGCGGAATCGGCGAGGCTGAGCCTGAGCGAAGGATTTGAGTGGCTCTTGCAATTTTTTTATTTTTCTGTAAAAAAATTAAATATCCATGTGGCATGGTCAATTGTTTGAATTTTGCCACATCAACAAAAATCATCCAGCTCATTTAAAATTCTGCCACATCAGAGTCAACTAACAGTCAACCGGATGGAAAGTTGACAATTTGGCTATTATTTTATTTAAATTGTTTTCGAAAAGGTTTGGCTATTATTTTATTTAAGGAGGAAAGGTTTGACTATTATATTGTATTTACCCAAAATTAAAATAGGGTTATTAATTTTCTTCTTAGACAATTTTTTTATTGAACTTAAACACAGCCTCTCACTCAATTCTTTCATGCAAAACGAACCTTCAGTGTCCAGGTTCTTCGTTGTCTATTGTGATTGTTACTTCACAGTTCATAATAGCAAATCTCAAGTGGAGCATTTTAAAGCCAAAACGTAGCCTTAGTTGTGGTCAATGGACGTTTGTATTGAACCATGGATTTCTTCAAAACTGTCTACAGATAGCCTTGCTGCTCTTCCATTCCAAGTACCCAAGCTCAAGATAAACAATAACAAAGAGCGCGATGAATAAATTGAACATTTCTTTTCGTCCTGGTTTGTTGGTGTACGAGGCAAGAACTCAACTCGCGATGAAGAAATCGATCATTTCCTTTCGCCGGGTGTTTGTTGGTGTACGAGAAAAGAACCTCAACTAAGAACCACAGGGGTGTAACATGATGGTTGATCAGCTTATCTTCTGAGTATAAGATTTGAGATTCAATCCATTTCCACCAACCCTAACAATACACGCAAGGAAAGCGTCAACTTAGGAGAACCAAATCCACTGTTAAAGTTATGGCGTTTCATAAGTTGATATTATAATGAAATAATCCATTTTCACTGTCATACTATTCAAGTAGAGAAACAATTGCTTATGGAGGGAAAATATGAGAGCTGCAAGCCGTGGAGCATAGTTCCATGGAGAGAGAATAAAGGGTTATACCTACGGAACAAACCTGGACGCAGTCTCAGCACCGCTTCGGCACAATGAAACTGATAACACGCAATCCCAGATGAACCGACCTCCTAGCACACGAAGAACTCAGTAACAGATACCATCTGTACCATCATGTGATTGCTCTATACCACCAGCCTCGCATCTCATCCTTGTCATTCTGGTTTACCACACTGTACCCTCCATCTTTGCTTCCCGACACAATTTCGGAATTTCCACACCCTGCTGCAACCGTTTATATACATCCAAAAGCTTTCTTTCTTTGCTCTTGTCCAACTGATTTCTCATCAGCTATTACCACGACCTGAAACTAGATCTCGCGGATTGGAGAAGAAAGTTCACCTGCCGCTTTGGAATTGCCATCACCGCTAGACCACCTCAAATATGAGAAGTAAATTTGGACATCATGCCCCAGTTCTCAGAGCTTGAGCCAAATACTTAACAGAATTTTAGCAGTCCCCAGAGAGGTTCTACATTCCTGAGATATCTACACGCTTCCTTCACCTCCGGACTCTTGTCGAACAAGGTACTCAATATCAACAATTTTGGCAAAAGCAAGATATAGGTTGCCCTTGTACCAAAAATGTCTTCCAACCATTACCAAATGATTCCTACATATGCTGGCTACAACATATCTCAGTTATCTGTTATCCATTACCAACAGCTCGGTGAGAGTAAGCTAAAACTGCTCAGCCTTCTCATCTCAACACAACACAACTTCAGAAGTAGTACACCATCTTGTGATCGGCTGTACCCATGCTTAGTACTACCAACAAAAGGGAGCGGCCAGTTTCAGTTTCTTACTTGGATCAAACCTGCAACTGGGGAACCAAGCAGGAGTCACGGCAGATATCTGCACCTGCAGCGACACCAGCATCCATGACTTCGAATTACAACCTCATTTCATTACATGGCAGTTTGCAGTCACTAAATCAGCTCACGAGTATCATGCGTCAGATCCTCCATAGTCCTAAGACTCCATCCCGAGAATGGTTCCCAGTTAATAACTTCTGTGGAATATTTCAGGCTACAAAAAAACCTGCAAATCGGATAATGTCAATTGATATTCGAGGATACTTATGCATGATACTGGCCCTTGAACCCAGAATGCACTTTACAAAGAAATGTATCAAATGCCTTTAAGATCTCCAGCAACTTTGGAAACAGTATTTGATCTAGAACCCGCAAATGTTTCTATCAAGCTAAAGTATTTCATAATTATTCTACATAAATCAATGAACAAAAAATTTCCTCAATGTGTGACAGCGGGTTAAAAAAAGTTCATTATAAATGCCACCAGAAGAATAAAACAACATAGAAGAGTTGCCAAAAATCTTACTTTAGTTACCCAGAAAAACAATAACAAATTAGTTTGGATATGCCACTGGATAAATGGTCAGCATGAGCAACGCTGAAAAATAAACTAAATAGTGTCCCAGAAACCCATATATAACTCTTTTATCAAGACGACTTCAAACACTAAAGACATGTCCAACAATGAAGATATGTTCACCCATCACTTATGAAAACATCGTGCAAGTTTGCAAATGTGCAATTATATGAAAAAGACTGTATATTACCTGATCAAAGGTCAAACTGGCCTACAACTGAGGGGAAATATGCTACAAAAAGGTCCATCATCTCCCACCTTGTTTATGAACAATGGTGCACCTTTTCAAACTAACTATGGCACACATAAACTCAGATATAAACAAAACAATGTGTATCAAGGATGAGCATCCATGAAGAACCAATGAACTCGGAACTATTGAACTGAGAGATCAGGAATGCTGTCAAGAACAACTATTTAAAAGGCAACTGTCTTGTGCTAAAAGCCTCACATTTCATTCCACTTACATGAAATCAGAAATACAATGTTTGTATGAGTAATTTAAATAAAGCAACTATGTACAGCACAACCAAGCCTGGGGTAGTTGGTGATTTATAACAAACCTTAAAGAACAAATACTGAGATCCACTTTCAACAAGAACAAAGCAAATTGGATTGCAAGCATCTGCATCTCGAGTACATACATAGCTGAAAGCATGATACCAGATCGCCAACTTCTTTTCAGCCTCCAACTGATGTATCATTATAACCTCCTTTCACAACATCCTCGGCTAACCACAGAACAAATATAAACATTTCATTAATGACCATCTTCTAAGAATCAATTGGCAAATAAACACTATTCTAACTAGTAGGTGATTTATCAACAAAACAAAAAATCAACTACTAGAGAGTATGCCACAGGGACAACAGAAGCTACCATCCAGATTATTTGGCAGAATGAATGCGCTGCAATGATGAGATCCAGCTGCCAGACGGAGCGACCTTGCTAGAATGTCCATGGCCACTTGTTGCTTCAGTTGGCAAGGCGCCTGGTTTTGCAGCATTTCTTCTTGAAGTCGCAGCATATGAAAATGAACTAGAAGGCATATGTGCATCACTCACAACCTACAAGAAGCAACATTGGCTGATCAACTGACAAAGGGAAGCTACCGGATGCCAAATTACACAGATGCCGAACCTCCCATGCATCAAACAAAGTCTCACTTAAATATGTGACAAAAGACCAATGAAAAGATCTTCATAATATCTCATGCAATGTCAGTTTCACACAATGTGTTTCTTAATTAACATTGTACCTACTTGTAGTCCCCACTTCAATAAGGTGCGAGAGCTAACCTTGCATCTCATGCTTAGTTAACAAGATACATTGTAAATAAGGGGTCGTTTAGAAGTTGCGATTGTTAAATAGATGTATTATTGAGAATGCATGTATAATATTATACATGTATTGTCGAATTTGATGCATTGTAGAATACAACGTTTGGTATGTGTGATTGTGTATGTCGCATCAGCTAAAAGCTGAGACAAAACAATCTCAACGCATCTATCTCAACAATCACAACTAAAAGTTGAGATATAACAATCACTCAAAATGAGTGATAGTTTCTGTCACATCACAGAAACAATCCATGTATTGTTTCTGCTAAAAAAAACAAAAAAACGATGCATTGTAAACAATACATGCATAATGACAATCTCAACAAAACTATCACAACTTCCAAACGACCCCTAAGTAACTTTAGTAATTCACCGCAATTGCAAACCAGTAAATAAAAGAAGACAACATAACCTTTCGAAAATAAAAGTAAAAAATTAGGGCATAACACTATAAATGCTGTCCATGATGTGAGAACTTACATTCCTGTCAGCATGATTATCAGAAACCACATTCTTGCCAGTTGAGGATTTCAATTGCATATGAATGCCAGGACCCATAGATTGTACAACCTCGGAAGCATACGCGGCATTACTACTTCCTGCACTCGAATGTTACTGCTAATGAGAATGAAACCACAACAATATCTCAATTGCAGAAAAACTGACGACCATAAATACTCTCCTGAAAAAGAATCAGTATGTCTCTGCTTTGAAAATGTTTTTATCTAATAATCGGTAGAACTCGTGGCGGGCAACAAACAGATTGATGATAACGTACAGAAGATATTTGCATTTGACACAGCGTAATGACTAACATGGAGTGCATGTGATTTCATGTTACACAGATCCACATCTCTAACCTTGTTGATTTGCATTTTCTCTTTGAACTGCATGGCTGCCACTTGTTCCAGTTACTTGCTGTAGCATCACCAAGTGCATGTTTCAGTATCAAAGACAAGCATTAGTCAAGGTGAAAGGAAAACAAGAGGAACAAAAAATGATAGCAGCCTCTTCGCCTGAACAGTTCTTTAATGAAACCTCATTCACAACTTATGAAACTGACTGACAGCTACTAACCGGTAATCGAGGCTGAGATCGGTTCTTCTGTGCCTGCTGGTACTTTATAATGGTCCAATCGAATACATAATCAAACTCATATCCTGCATCAACAGACAATAGATTACACAACATTAAGCAAAGATGGCTGCATTGCACATAAACTCATTAGAACTTACCATATATACTATGTAAACTAAAAATCTATAGTAAAATCAATAACTAGAGTTGGTAAAAACATACCTTCACGTACGAATAGATCACGAAACAGGCGCTTCAAGAATCCATAATCAGGCCGTTGATCAAATGTCAGCGAATGGCAGTAATGCATGTATGAAGCAAACTCCACCGGGTGAGATTTGCATAGAACCTGGAAATAAGTATATATTGAGTTTACAGTCTATTTCAACACCTAAACTTTGAATAAGTACCGCAAGTTAACCACGCACCTCTATCGGAGTAGATAGTTTCTTTTCACATATCTTGTCGTACTTCTGCTTCTTCGTAGCCGCTTTCAAACCCTGCCATGGAAGGCTGGCAACAAACAAGTAAAGTTAAGCATGCACGCGTCAATTGAGTTCAACAATGTTAAACACAACTGTTCTATGAGTCGGGAAAACTTTTCTTATTGTGAAATAAAAGCACCAAGTCGTCCAGAAACCATACCTTCCTCTCAAAAAATATAGCAACACATAGCCAAGTGACTCCAAATCATCACGCCGGCTTTGCTCTGTACACCAGCAAATGCAGGAGCAGACATGTAAGCTCAAGCCATTGGAGGTAGGAGACCTCATAAGTACATAACATCATATTTATAAAAACGTTATTCCGATCCATATTACACTGTAAAAATACTTCACCCATCAGCCGTACCAATGCCAAGATGAGTATTGCAACTTGCATAGCGAGCAGTTCCTGTCAAGTTCTTGTTCTCTCTGCACAGTAACATGGTTGATAGCAAAATATGAGTGAGGGAACCAAGTCACCAAAATCCAATTTAGTAGTATCAGTCAAAAGTGTTAAGTCAATTTAAAACGTCAAAATCATGCCAGGGGTACAAATAAGATTTCAACAAATTAACTTGGCAAGAAGGAGATGAAACAAATCAAGAAAGAATCACCTGTAAGGAATATGGCGATTTGATACCGCGTCTCTATATCTTTTTGCAAGCCCAAAATCAATTATATAGACCTGGTGGATAGTATATGAGCATAAACAGTTATGACTTTGCCACTAGAGAAAAAATTTCAAAAGCATATGATTTTCGAAGTTCATCACCTGGTTTGCTTTACGACCAAGACCCATGAGGAAGTTATCAGGTTTAATGTCTCTGTGCAGAAAACCTTTCGAATGTACATATTCAATCCTTGTAATCTGCAAATACCAGGACGGATATAAAAACTAAGTACATTTGTGACTCAAACTGTACCACATACATAGAATAACCCAAGAGTCTACAGAAACTGCCCGCAAACAGGGGCAAAATCAACAAAACATAGAATGACGAATAGGCATAAACCATCTCAAAAGCGGGTTGATGATGCATACACATCATTCACCACCATTTGTACGTGAACAGAAAGGAGAAGGAAGAAGGGAACAAGAGAACTCCATACAAAAGAAGAAAAAATCGAGAACCAACAACGAACAAGATGGAACCAAGTTTACCATTTGCTCAGCCAACATTAACACAGTCTTTAGCGAGAACTTCCTCCCGCAGTAGACAAAGAGGTCCTCAAGGCTTGGCCCGAGCAAATCAAGCACTAGCACATTGTCCTCCCCATCCAAGCCAGACCACTTTATGCTGGGAATGCCGCCTGCAACAACACGCAATTCCAATGTCACATCGAAGTTGCAAGCCCCAAAGTTCGAAAAATTAAAGCCGCTTCCATATATCATATTGTGCAGAAATAGTGTTTCTCATACTTCCTCCTTGAAGAATATTATACAGCTTGGCCTCGTAGAGCAACTGCGGATGCTTCGTTTTACTATTCTCCTGAGAACAGCAGAAAAACAAGTGAACAATTAGAGCTCTACAGTTTCAGCAGAAGAATTGGAACTGGTCCAATTACAACAACAGCCGCCATTCAAACCCAAAACGAAGTTCAAATTCCCGTTTCCTCATCCACATTCATCTAACTACATGCACTACCCCACACGCAAGAGATGGTTAAGCAACACGATCGCCAAGGAAGGGGAAGAACTTACAATCTTCACAGCTACGATCTCAAACGTGTCGATGTGAGTAGCTGCAAAGCAAAAACACGGGGAAAATCAGCTAGGAAACGAACCAAACCACACAACTAACAGAAGCAGGCGCAGTACGGATTACGCTCAATTGGACGACAGAGAAGAGGAAGGACTAACCGAGAAATATTTCACCAAAAGATCCGCTGCCGATCTTCCGACCTAGCTTGTACTTCCCTCCGACGATCCGTTCCATAAGGAGGGGCTGCGTTTCCGGTTTCCCGATAATCGGAACTAGAGCTGACCAGAATCTAAAACGAACTCACGAAAGTCGAGATCGGCTCCGGTGGCGATCCCGGCGGCCGGCGTAGCTGATTGACCAGGCGGAGAAAGAGTGGGGGATTCGGATTGCGGTTCTTTTTCGGTACCCGTGAGGAGAACTGAAGCCACAAATGGATGAAAGAAGAAGAAGAAGAAAGAGAAGTCGGCGAACTAATTGACAGAGAGACAACAAGCAAGACAGAGAGGAACGTAATATATGAGAGAGAGAGAGAGAGAGAGAGGGAGGCGTGGGGTTAAGGGCTGGCGAGGGCAGAATGGGGAATTCAAGTTAGGGGCGGTTTTTTTCCTTTTTATCCGTTGATAAAAGGTGGAACCTGGGCGGCGTTCTTAGGATTCGGTTACGTTAGATGGTGGTGGCGAGGAAGCCCGGAGGGAACAGGCGGCCCGTTGACGTGTTGACTATTCACCGATTTGCAAAGCTTATTAGGGCAATTATTCGGATTGTGAAAAGTGGAAACACAAACCCATAGATTTGTAGTTCATCCATATCGTGGTAGAATAAAATTTAATGGTGGCTACTTTGGAACAAAGAACATTTGCGGTCTACGGAGAGGGAACAAGGTGGTGAACAAGCAGTTCATTTGAAGCGGTCGCCGCCCCATCGTCGCAAGCTGGTGATGGCGGAATCGGACGAGGATTGGATTGTGGTAGACTCCCAGCTGTCCGCAGAGCACAGAAGTGCTGCGCATCAGCACATGGCTCGGGACGTGGGATCGGGAAGTCACGCCCCAACCCTCAAGCTGGTGGGAGGGAAGTCGTCCAAACCAGCTGGGGTTTCCACGACCAGAGGTTGCCGACTCAAGAAGAAATCGGAGGATCCCGAGTATAAAGCTAAAGATGAGTTGGTTTTACCCCCTCGATAGCAGGCGGACCGAAGCCTGAAGGGGAAAATGATAGCTGAAACGTCAGACTCGGAGGAGTAGGAACCGGACCTCAAGGAATCGGAGGAGGACTTGCCATCCCCGCCTCACCCGACACCCTCTCTTGAGCACGCGCGAGAGGTGGTTCAACTTGAAGCAAAGTAGGCTGATGATTCTGATGAATCGTTATCAGATGGAGAGAAGAACCAGTTTGAAATTAAAAGTCGTGCTCCGTCCAAGGCTTGGTCGGCTGGACATGTTCGCCAGGTGGGTCTAGCCTCTGAAGCTGGAGTTATGGGACACTCTGTGGATGCTAGTGGTATCAACAAGCAAAATGAAGTTGGGGTGATCCTCCAGCTGAATGAATATGGATCCAATGCTACTATCCCGGGAATTGGAGGGAAGAAGCGCACTTTGCGCTAGATGGATGGGGAGCTGGAGGATAATCCCAATCCGAAGAAGCACTTTGCGAAGGAAGAAGAAGAGAATGAGCAGGATGTGGTGGAGGAAGCCATACAAAAATGGCCCCAGGACGATAAATGAAACTACTGGCATGGAATGTAAGAAGAATTGGACCATCCCTCACATTCCAAACTGTTATCGGTTTAGTTCATTCTAATAAACCGGATCTCTTGTTTTTTTTTCTTCTGAAGCACGATCGATTTGGCGAGTAGTTTCCCGTCATATGCGGGGATTTGGCTTTGATCTTTCCCATTGTTTTTTTGTTGATGCGATTGACGCATCAGGAGGTCTAGTGGTAGCTTGGTCCCCCGAAGTTGAGGTTTCAGTGTTTTTTCATTCCAACTTCTCTATTTGTGCCCAAATTAATGAAGTGGGTTTTTCTTATGTTGTAATTTCTGTTTACATTAGTTGTAATGCCACAATAAGAGCCGCGCAATTGGCTCAACTATGGGAAATCTATGATGCCATCCAACTCCACTACGTTGTCATAGGATATTTTAACACTACTCTTCATGAGAGTGAAAAAGATGGAGGAAATTCGTGGAATGCTGCTCAATCTCTTAGCCTGCGTGATTTTATTCAGGACCTGGGTCTCCATGACTCTGGTTACCAGGATGAACAATTCACCTGGTCGAACAGGAAGATGGGTGTGGCTTGTATTCGTGAGAGACTGGACAGAGCTTTGTGCTCCTCTCCGACAAGCCCTATACCCGGAATAGTCAGTTCCTCTTCTGATTTGATGCTCGATGGGCTGATAAATCGGAGGCCAAGGCGATGGTGAACTACGTATGGTAGGAGGAAATTCTATGTACTTCTATGTTTCAACTTTGGGAACGTCTTAAGAAGCTTCACCATTTGCTCTATGACTGGAGTAGGACAGGTACTACGAATTCCCTTCGCAATATTAAAACTCTCCAAGCAGAAGTTGAACGGATAAAATTAATCCATCCTATTGCATGGGATGAGGTCCGGAACATGGAAATGGAGTTAAATTTCCAATGGGAGGCTGAGGAAGTTTATTGGAAGCAAAAATCTAGAGTCCGATGTTTTAAGAAATGAGATAAAAATACATCGTATTTCCATACGGTTAAGAGGACTAGGAGAAAACAGAACTTCGTGTCCGGCCTTCGTAAAGACAGTAGGGAATGGTTCACTGAGGAGAATGGGAAGGCATACATTGCCAGTAATTTTTATTAGACTCTTTTCACCTCAGAGAATTAGGTATTGAACATGGTCGATAGGGTGGCTGCTCTTCCCATAGCCCAGTGTTACACCAGAAATGAATGTCAGTCTTACGGTTGAAGTCCTTCCTTGTGAAGTGAGAAAAACAGTTTTCTCCATGGGTTCGAAGCAGACACCCGCTTCTGATGGGTTCACTGGCAAATTTTTCAAGGCCTTCTGGGATATTGTTGGCAACTCCTTGATTGATGTTGTCTGCTCGTTCTTTACAATGAGTAAGATGCTCCATAGCTTCAATCATACTTGGCTGACGTTGATACCTAAAGTGGATAATGTGGAAACAATGAGACAGCTTCATCCAATCAGCTTATGTCAGTTTGTGTACAAAATTATAACCAAAATTATGGTAGAACGACTTACCTGTCTCATACAACAAATCATCTCGGAAGGTCAAAATGCTTATATCCGTGAACAACAAATAGTGGAGAATATCCTCATTGGACATGATTTAATGCACTACTTAAAAATCAAAACGCGCGGTAAGAAAGGGTACATGGCTCGAAAGGTTGACATGGAAAAGACCTATGCTAGATTCGAATGGCCATTTATTCTTGCAGTTTTGAGTAAGATGGGTTTGAACTCCATCGGGAGAGGATGGATACATAAATGCCTCAAATCAACATCGTTTTCGATTCTCATGAATGGCACCCCATCGGGTTACTTCGCACCTTCCAAGGGACTTTGGCAGGGGGATCCTCTTTGATGAGGACATCAACACCAAGGCGATCACAAGTCCAACTTTTGTGCAAGAGGAACGTGGTCCAATCACTAGAAGTCAAGCCAAGGCATTCAAAGGTCGACTTCAAGCTTATTTGGTAGAGCATTTTCCATCTTTGGAGTCGAATTCGTTCATGGGCCAGGAGGTCAATGTCATCCATGTCCAAGATGAGAAAGAAGGACATTCTTGATGTCCAAGTTGGCCACACATGGAATGGCAAAGGAAAGGGGAGAAAGAAGGACATTCTCGATGCCCAAGTTGCCCAAACATGAAAAGGGAATAATTAGTGGCTAAGAATCTTCCATTAGCATTAAAAACAATATGTTAGAATCTTTTGGATATTTGTTTCCTTCTTTAACTCCTATTAGTTTCCTTCTTAATTTTGTAACCTCTATAAATAGAGGGTGTTATGCCTACGGGCAAAACAACTTTGATGAATGAAAACCCCTTATTTGAGAGTTCATTATTGAAACTCTTTTATCCTTCTTAGCCCGTTCGTGGAATCGAGCCGTCTAGAAGAAAACCGACGTTATCAACTAGTCAATCACCCTAGTTGTGGAGTCACTTCGTATACTTGGCCCCTCTGCCCAATTGTGGCTTTGGTTTGAGTTATTTCCCGCCCTTTTGCTCTTTGTTTTGCTAATCAAACTTTGCTGCGTATTCTGATTGTTTAAGTCCAGGAGTTAGAGTCTCGGTTTATATAAGGTGGTATCAGAGCTCCGGTTCAAACACAGTGGCATATGTATCCCCCTATCTTTTGCGAAAATAAGCCAAACAGGTTTTGTGTTCTTAAACATCACCAAGAAAGGTTATTTTTGTTTCTTGATTATTTAATTTCATTCTTGATTGTAACGTGCATCTGTTGGAAAAAGTCGTTCTAGAAAATACCCAAAAAAAAAAAACCAAAAAAAAAACCGAGCTTAAAAATTAGGAAGAACAACTCGAAAAAGACAAGAACAGAGGCCAAAACACGCATGTTTGTGTCTTTATCAAGTTTTGTGCATTCTTGGTCGAGTCTTGATTGTGCTAGTTGGTTTCTTGAGATTTTTGCGACTTGAGCTACTGTTTTATTGCTTGTTCTACTTGTTGACTAAGAAGCTCATCTAGGGTTTCTGAGAGCAAGTGGGAAGAGGCTTCGTGAGTTCAATATCGACTAAAAGCCAATTCTGTTGAGTGAAACACGAGTGGTAAGAAAACGAGTGATCTCATTTGAGTGCAAACACGTGAGGGAGTGACTTGTGAGGTCCTTTGTTTGTACCATTAATCTGAAACTTTAAGCATTGACGGATAACTTCTTGTTTTGAGTATCTGAACTAAATGGCAGGAGAAGGAGAAATTCGCAACAATCAGGAAGTCCAGAACTTGGAAGGCATTCCACAAGCCACCATGGATGCTTTTATGGGACGCCTTACCCGGATGATGCAAGGCCAGCAGGATCGGATTAACACTCGCCTCGATGAAATGGCCCAAGCTATTAACCTCCACCCCGAGGAGGAGGACGATTTTCCACCACCACCACCACCACCACCGGGTGGAAGGCGAGGCCGACCTCTGGGTCCCAACAATCTCATACCTCTATGAGGACGAGGAGTTAGAGGTCGAGGAGGAAGACCCAACAGTTCACGCTCGTAGAGCTCCCCGAACCACAAGACTATGAGGAGTATATGAGGAGGAAGAGTATCACCAGAATAGGGATGATGATATGAGGGGACTGAAGGTGAAGGTGCCATCATTTCAAGGGAGAAGTGACCCTGAAGCTTACCTCGACTGGGAGAGAAAGATGGAGTACTTGTTTGAGTGCCACGATTATCATTGCTACTCTTGAGTTTTCTGACTATGTTGTTATCTGGTGGGACCAGTTAGGTGCTGAACGGAGGTTGCACGGAGAAGAGCCCATCACAACATGGCATC